GTCTCCTTTCCCGGGCGAATCCTGCGCTGAATGCCGCTGACATCACCATTGAAATGGCCATGAACATAGGGAAAATATGGGGAAAATGATGACTTACTGGTGCTTCGTAGGGAATGGATGGGAATGGGGGAATGGGATGATTATTGATAGTTATTGTGGATCATTCCCTCATTCCCTGCTAAGCACCAGTAAGATGATTAAGTCCCTAGAAAAACAAAGAAACTGAATGAAGAATCTACAGTGAGGATTGAACCAATTGAAAGAATGCTTGCGATCAGCAAACTGAAGCATTTCATCAACAAATCTGCAGGGCCACCACCAAGAATGGATCTTTGGCAATAGCTTGACAAGGAAAAATGGAGGATATGAGCCAAGCCGAAGCTTGGGTGGAATCTACAATTTCAATCCATTTCACAGTCTATGCAAGGAGCGAAGGCCTTGCTTCCAGGACGAACTTCTTGATGGAGAGGTCATAGTAACGTTTCTGGGCACGCCACGGAAACATTGCGTTTTCCAAAGCAAAACAGTGGAGTGAAAACACATCTACTGAGTTCGGTAGAAAAATTGCAAGAAAGGCGAAGTGAAATCATGACTGGACTTGAGTTGTCTTAGTCTTGGAACTGGGCCATAGTGAAGTTGCTTGCATTTTCTTCATCAAGACCGATCATGTCAGGCAATAGGCAATGTCAGGCAATGTCAGGCACGCACATTCGCTCATTCCAGCTGATGGTCGGTCCACAAGACCAAATGTATCCACAAGACAAGACTCATGCGCCAACCTCCAAGTGGCAATCTTCAATCACCCTCCCTTCCCCCTCCCCACCAGTGTTCGATCCCTGGGTTGTTTTGACCAACGAAGCACCTATGAGGGTGGCCCCATAGTGTATCAAGATATATGTTATATTTATATCCCCCTTAAATCCCCTTAATATCATGAAAACTGGGATAAAATATGATGAAATACGATGACATATGTAACTTAATGTTCAAAATTCATTGATGGCTGGTATAATATGGCATATGTTGGATCCTATGTGTCTAGAGTCGGGTCCCCATGATTTTTGACCCACCTTCCTAGCGCTGGAAAAACCGAGGGACTCCGCTACGGCTGTGTATGCTACGAATCACTTTGGTAGGCAAATGCTTCTGCAGCTGCTCACTGAAGTACAACACCTCAACCGGCTCCGGATTTTGGGGTGGAAAATATTGAATTAATTTCTCTGTTCTTAGGGGACGAATTGTCCACACCTGGATATATTCAATATAATATAATATAATACAACATAATATAATATAATATAATACAACATAATATAATATAATACAACATAATACAACATAATATAATATAATATAATACAATATAACAAAATATAATATAATATAATACAATATAACAAAATATAATATAATATAATATAATACAAATAACAAAATATAATATAATATAATATAATATAATATAATATAATACAACATAATATAATATAATATAATATAACATAATACAACATAATGTAATATAATATAATATAATATAATATAACATAATACAACATAATATATCATAATATAATATAACATAATACAACATAATGTAATATAATATAATAAAATATAATATAATATAATAAAACATAATACAACATAATATAATATAATATAATATAACATAATACAACATAATGTAAGATAATATAATACAACATAATATAATATAATATAATATAATATAGTATAATATAACATAATACAACATAATATAATATAATATTATATAATATAACATAATATAATATAATATAATATAATACAATATAATATAATACAATATAATATAATATAATATAATATAATACAACATAATATAATATAATATAATATAATATAATACAACATAATATCATATAATATAATATAATATAATAATATAATATATAATGATAATGATAATGGTCACATATAGTCGATGTTTCACAGGTTAGATTATGGATTGTGGAAATTGCACCAATGTTTCGGATCAAAATAGCTCGTCGTGTTGGGGCTGTTCCCAGATTTTCCCAGCCCGGAGTGCTTTTCTCACGCTTTCTTTAGGAAAAATGAACAGAGAAAAGTACAGTAAGTGCATGGGGTATCGGCTGGTAACCTGGTATGGGTGGGGGGTGTGACTATTATCTGAGTATATCTGAGTATATCTGTGGGTCTTGTCTTGTTGCATCATCAAGTGCTATGCTTGCGTGATTTGTCCAGTTCTTGATTTGAACCATGGCTCAAGTCTGGAAATGCGGCGCCAGCGATAAGCCAAATGTTCAGGTCTATGGTCTATGATCAGTATCATCTCAGAAAGCCATCAGATTTGAATCTCCTCCATGCGAATTCCGGCTGCCAAGTAGCGTTTTGCCCAACTTTGAACTTGGCTGGTGGTGTCTGCATCTGTTTCCCATCAGCCTGCTCCTCAGCAACCTGGTGGCTACAACATGCTACAACCCCCCCCCACTTTGTCTTACCAAACATGTCTATCATCCCAATAGGTCTTGGGATGTCTTGGGTCATAATTCATCCAATCATGAAAGTATTTGAAACTTATCTACATATAGAGAGAGTGTCCAGTGTCATGAAAGTCTTTGTTCTCAGCAGTCTGGTTGGATGCTTTCCCCCAAATTGATCTCCAATTGAATCCGCTTGATATTGCTTTGAAGATACCTGTTTGGGCTCATCCTGATTATTCCCCTTGGATTTCTTGGGGAGGGATGAGAGATCTTTGAAACCACCAACCAACCAAGGTACCCTTCAAGAATCTCAAAGGCAAGCAAGAGAATGAGAAATCAATCCCGCTAGTATGATTCCCCTAAGATCAAAATTCATATACTGGGGACATCCCATTGCACTGAATTGTTGCTGTTGCCGGTATTACCCTCTGGTAATTTAACATAGCTATTGAAAATTGCCATTTATAGTGAGTTTTCCCATTAAAAATTGTGATTTTCCATAGTTATGTTAGTTTACCAGAGGGTATTGGAAATGTCTGAATGTCATGAAAAATGTCCCATTGCTCCCCTCCAATGGGATTCTTGCCATTGCCAAAATTCTTGACCGCTCAGGGTGTACATCTGCATACCGCCATTTATCTCCACTTCTTTCACAAAAAAAATATCACCCCAAAAAATGAAAATCAAAGTATTGAATAGTATTTACTATTGACTACTTACTACACCAGACACCATATTTCACCATATATAGATCCATCTATATACTATTTGTTTATCCATTTTTGCGTATTCACATCTTACCCTTCTCCAAGGTTCACCCGGCGCGTGGAGACCCCCTCCCCCATCGCCTTCGTCTCTGTCTGCTTGGCCACACCAAAGACCAAGCCCGTGGAGTTCGCAGCGCGCGCCGGCTGCACCGCACGGGCTGCGGACGCCACCGACGCCTGAGCACGTTGGGATCCAACCGGAGAGGGAAGTGGGATCCCATCGGATCCAACCCAAGCATCGGAGCGAAGCACCGGAGCATCGGAGCAACAACGTTTTCCAGGACGCGCTCTGCACTCACTCTGTTATATCGGCGAAAAAATATTAGAAATATGTGTATATATATATATGATGTACAAGCATGCATACGTATATGTAATGTTGAGGGGAGTCTCATACATGTTCATAAGCTTCAATAGGATGCAAAAGGCATGATCTTATAATATCTTATGACAACCTCCGCTTGAACTGGAAATGGATGATGCGGCCCAATGTGGGTTGGGTGGTCAACGCGTCATCTGCGCACATTGAAAGCGAGTCATCTGCGCACATTGCAAACGAGTCATCCGCGCACAGAGAAACCGCGTCATCCGCGCACAAAGAGCGGTCATCCGCGCACATTGATGCTGGGAACCAGCCATTTCGGGTTTGGTTGGGGGGGGTGGGGGGGTCCTAAAAGGTCCCACGTTCACTTACGCCAAAATTTTTAAGGTCACTTACGCCGAAAATTACCCCCACACATTTTCGACATCACTTGCGCCGAAAAACCTCTGATTACCTGTAAATTTCTCTCCTTCATGTTCCAGTGGGGTGGCAAGGGTGGGGTGGGGTTTGGTGTTCTGGGGTGGGGTGGGGTGGGATGATAACGTTCATGTTCCTATGCACACACAGGCACAGCAACCTCATCATCTTTCTTGCTGTTGAGAAGAGACAGGCACAGCTCTTTCATGATCAGTTACCGGTGGGGTGGGGTGAGTTAATAAGGTTCATGTTCCTATGCCTGCACACGCACAGCAACCTCATCATCTTTCTTGCTGTAGAGCACTTACACGCACTGCTCTTTCATGATCAGTTACAACTTCGCATAAAAAGGACCGGACTCTTGACATGTGAACTGCATGAGAACGGTGTGTGAAAATCTCCTACAGATTTATTGTTAGGCACTCTGGTGCTATTCGCAACACCAACTTGCGGCAGTGCAGCGCAGTGAGCGCAGTGATTTTGTCTTGGCACAACTCGGCCAGGCTTCCTGCACATAATGAACGCAACAGGGCACCATGTCACAGACGTGTTAGTTAAATGAGTTAACTGAGTTAAATTAGCTAACTTCGTTAAGTTACTTGAGCTACTGACGTTCGTTAGCTTGGTTAAGTTACTTCAGTCAGTTAAGTTCGTCACAGAGCGGAAATACGTGAGATGAGTTGTGTGAGTTGTGAGATGAGTGGAGTAGTGTGAGATGAGTTGTGTGAGTTGTGAGATGAGTTGTGTGAAAGAACTTGGGTGAAGTTCAGTGAGAGAACACGAAGCAGCTCCACCAAATGCCACACGAAAGCAGCTCTTGAGAGAGTTGAGTTGTGTGAGATGAGTTGAGTGAGATGAGTTGTGTGAGATGAGTTGTGTGACTTGTGAGATGAGAGGAGTTGTGTGAGATGAAATGTGTGCATTGTGTGAGACAACTTGAGTGAAGTTGAGAGAGAAAGAAGCAACTCAGGAGGAGAAGGAGGAGAAGGCAAGGAATACAAACATAAAAACAAAAGCCCCACACAGAGATGTGAGGAAAAAAACCATAACTTGATGAGTTGTGTGATGATGTTAAAAAAAGCTAGAAGAAGAATCATGTTACAGAGCTACAATGACAAAATCACACAACAAAAACGTGCACAGACGACCAACCGTCTGACGTGCACAGACGACCCACTTTTGACGTGCACAGACGACCCCCCAACCCAATGTGGGCCCATGATTTTCAAGGAGGGGCTTATGTTCAATCTGTTTGGGGGGCCCAGCGAAATTGGAAGGCCTGTCATTTGCACTCAGCGGCATCTTGGAAGGGATTTGGGGAACTTTGTACAAGGCCCTCGATGCCCAGATTGAATTGAAAAGCCGCCAAAAGGCTGCTGATATAGTCGTATCATGTCCTATCATGCACGGCTTCACCCCGAAAGTCTACCGGCTTTTAAGATTTGCTGACTCATTCGTCCCATGTCTTCAAGTGATCTCCCATTTTCGGAACCTCAAGGGGGCACCGGCCACCCACCATCCCCTGTCATGGCGGCCTTGGCGTCCTTGGCGTCCTTGGCGTCCTTGGCGTCCTTGGCGTCCTTGGCCGCACGGATCTTATAAGGCACTGCCTTGGGCTTTCCCGGTAGGTCGTAGGACTCCACCTCTCCTAGGGTCGTGGCCGTGGCCCGTGCTGAAGTGGCGGTGAACATGGGGAGTTGGCCGAAATGGTATATCTCATGATGCAAAGCCGGCCAAACAGCAGAAGAACCGGCAAGAAAGGCTAATTATATATATATATGTGTGTGTGTGTTATTTATTTGTCTAATTGTTTACTTGTTTATTTATTTGTTTATGTCTTTATGTATCTTTATTTATGCACTTACTTATTTATACATGCATTGAAATGTGGGCAAGCAATGGCATATATAGGATACCCATCCATCAATCAAAAAGGCACATGACTGCTCCGACACCCCGGACAATTCTGCTGTTTCAGTCAAGGTACCCTTAGGTCCCAGGTTAATGGCCTGGATGCTGGTATCAAACCACTTCCTGCTCAACCCCAGGCTTGGGCGCAGTTGAAACATGGTTTGTCAAAACTATGGCCAGTCTAGTCAATGGGGGGAAATGAGTGATCAACATTGATGAACCGTCAGTCAAGTTTTTGGTACACGATTTAATTTCAGACAAACTGACATATCCCACGTGTTGAAACTGGGAAGATGGCTTCAAGTAAAATGGTGATGCAAGTTTTCAACCTTCCAAGGGCCTCTCACAACACCGAGAACTACACTACAAATGTTGAAGGTGTGGTTGTTTACTGATCGATTTGACACCTCTGATCTCTGTGCTTCCCCCGGCTTCTCCACGCACCCCGACCTTGGGCCACTGCTCCTGAGTCGGCTCCAAAGCTAGGAGAAAGTGAGAAACTCATTGATTTGAAACTGATGTTGTGATCTGTATATATGCGCTGCATATATATATATATATATATCTCTTTCTCTCTCTCTGTGAGTGCATATATATATATATCTCTCTCTCTCTCTCTGTGAGTGCATTTATATATATCTCTCTCTCTCTCTGTGAGTACATATATATATATATCTCTCTCTCTCTGTGAGTGCATATATATATATATATCTCTCTCTCTGTGAGTACATATATATATATCTCTCTCTCTCTGAGTACATATATATATATATCTCTCTCTCTCTGTGAGTGCATATATATATCTCTCTCTCTCTGTGAGTACATATATATATATCTCTCTCTGTGAGTACATATATATATATATCTCTCTCTCTCTGTGAGTACATATATATATATATATATCTCTCTCTCTCCATCTCTCTGTGAGTACATATATATATATATATATACATATATGTAGTGTGCATATGTATATATGTTTGTGTGATTATGTGTGGGTGTGCATGTGTGTGTGTGTATGCCTGATTGTATATGTATGACTAACTATATATATATATATTGTGTGTGTGTGTGATGTTTGAAGTTTTGGCATATGGAAAATGTCCCACAAAGCCTCCCCAGGAGTTCTAATCGGAGCGACGTTATGCGCCCGGAATCGTTTCTCGATTCTCCAGATAAAGTACCCCATCATGGTGCATTTTCACAATGCTCAAGATTAACCTCTTATAACTCAATGTCAACCTGGCTATGGCCCATTTGTGCGTGATTTATCTTGATTTACCTATCACTGTACTAGAAATGGTGATTTTCCATCGCTACGTTAAATGGCCAGAGGGCATATAACAGTCAAGTAGTGGTGTTCTGTCCAACACCATCCAAATAGGTTCAGGCCGTGAACGTTGCAAGAAAAACCAGCCAACCTACGGCCAGTGATGACCCTTGCCTCTTTTTTTCAAGGGACCTGGTAAATCTGGTTAAAAACATGAACAGCCAACAAAAACTTAGAGAAAACAAACATGGTGAAAAATAACGTCTGAAAATCTCACCCTGAACTTGACCCTCCCCCAAAATTCAGACCCTGCCATTCATCGGGTTTGGAAGATTAGTTACCCTCTGGTAATTTAACATAGCTATTGAAAATGACCATTTATATATAGTGTATTTTCCCATAAAAAATGGTGATTTTCCATAGTTTTTTGTATGTTTACCAGAGGGTATCAGTACAATTGGTGATTTTCAGGGTCGAACTGTTCATATGGGCCAGGTGTCCAGTAGCGCACGCGTTCGCCCACCTGGAAAATCCTCGCCTGAAACGAGCACGGAGAGAAACGACCCGGGTTCCAATGGTGATAAATAGGTGTTAATCATTGGAATAATCTGAAAATGTAGGGCTAATATAATTTATATACCTATATATATATAATGTCATAGGTGCTTGATATGTTCAAATTAATCAATGGCAATTTATCACCATGATGGTAGAAAATAATCAATGGTGGTTTTGTCCGGTTTTGTTCATCATATTCGATTGCCCCTAAGCCTCAGTGGTGATAAATATAGTGATATTGTCTGAAAATAGGGGGACATGTTGATCCACGGGTTAATCATCATTTTCCCTATTGAAAGTGCCATGAGTGGGGGTACCATTTTTATCCATTTTTCAGACCTGCCGTGACCTGCCCATATGTAAAAGGGAGATAAATCACAATTAATCACAGCAATTGACAATATGGCAGTGTGTCAAAACCTTGTACCCCTGTAGTTCACATCAAAATAGCTGGGATTTATGGATGTTCATCCCACTAAAAATGGTATTAATAGGTATTGATCCATAGCCTTATGTAATTATACATGATAATTGTAATCCCGACTTGTCAACGGGTCGCTTTGATACAGGAAACCATGGAACCAATGCCGTTTCCTATCCAATATCAGCTATTCCCGTACAGTTCAACAATTCCCTTCATCACATTGTTGGGCTGGCTGGTCGGTACAGCGACTCCCTGAGAGAAATCTGCGATGAGTTCTTCATGACTTGATTCCTTCACCTTGTCTCTTTGATCATTCTGCCTATGGCTAGTTCAATTTCCTCTCTACCTCTCAATTTGTCTTCAAAGCCCCGCGCATTGTGCGCATACTTATATACATATGTATATATATATATGTATGATACATATATGCACACATTATGCACACGCATACATGTATATGATTGTATACGTATACCATATCTCTCTCCATTGCCGACATCGCCATTGAGGTTCAGCGTCAGGCTGAGGGCGAGCAGGTAGCCCGATCAAATGAAGGAATGCACCAGTACACCCGAGAAACTGTAGATCTAAGGAATTAAATCATGAAGGCAAAATGCCAAACTAGGCGATCACGTATACGTATGTATATATATATATAATTATGATTATATATGTATATATATGTATATATAATTATATGGGTATGCAAATGTATGTTTATTTTACTATTCTATATACTTATATAATCTTATATAGTCGTACCATTCATTACCATTCCATCTTTGGGCCGACTACCCTTCACGAGTCCTATCCATACTTTGACTATCATGTGCTTGGAAAATTCAATTCCTCCAACTTGCTCCCCATTGAATAACTGAATATGGAGACAATCATGATACAAGCAGCTTGGCTCAGCTCACCACTCCCTTCTAACCACTCAAATAAAAGTTGACCCATCCCCAAATTTTGCTGCTGACTCACCATTTTCCATCAGTTTCCCATATTTTATCATATGTTCCCTATGAAATAGATGAAATAGCCATAAGGGATGGATAGGAAACAACCTATATGTAAATAGATGAAATAGCCAGAAGAATTCTCAAATGTCAATATTTTACAATCTTTTCCCTATGGATAGGGGGAAAAAACATGTTTCAGGTCCACAGTTCACTGTTTCTGGCCTTGGTCGCCTTGGGCCCCTTGGCCGCCTTGGCTGCGTCCGACTTTGGGACGGCGGCGCCAGGTGCAGACGCAGCTTGCGCAGGTGGGCCTGGTAGGCTTGGGGACGGGGTATACTACCCTCTGGGAAATGAACATAGCCATAGAAAATCACCACTTTTAATAGGTAAATCAACTATTAGTAACTATTTCTATGGCCATTTTCCAATAGCTACGTTAAATTACCAGAGGGTACCTGTCAAAAACCTTCAAAAATCCAATGATGGAAAGAAAATACTCAATCTTACCCAAAATTCCGAGAAAAAATATGGGTTTTGGTTTTTTTAGATCATGTCCCGTTAAAAACCTATACCCAATATCTCGTGGTATCCGGCATGAGGATAGAAATTCACTGACTGATTTGGGGTTCATCTGAGCTTATGGGCACCCTGAAAGCGGTTTTACTTGGGTTGTATTATATCCCTACTGGTTTTGCCTCTATCCTGCTGTATTCGCATTTCGCTTGTTTCAATTTTCATCATTTGGCTTTGGGCTTCTTGAATCCCAAGTCTTCAATTGTTTAAGTTTTTCTTGGTTCTGTACTTCCTCATTTGTGGCTGTGATACAATGGTACCCGTGCGTGGAATGGACATATACATACACATATAATATACTATGTATGTATGTATATATATATATATAGTGTGTATATATATATAGTGTATATATGCACGCATGCAGGATGGATGGATGGATGGAATGCAATGCAATGCAATGCAATGCAATGCAATGCAATGCAATGCAATGCAATGCAATGCACTGCACATGTATGTATGTTGTGTCTTTATATATATATATATGTGTGTGTGTGTTATAAAAACACATGTAAATACATCAATAAATATAATGATTGACAAATCCCTTATGTCCTCGTGGTATCTCTTGGTTTTAATCAACTCCCCACTTTTCCCATTGGTTCCACTGCTCCGCCTTCAACCTGGGCCGGAGCGGCTCCGGCCGGGGCTGCCTTTGGTGCGCTCTTCAACGGCCTCACCTAGCAGGATCATCAGGTACCCTCTGGAAAATCACCATTTTTCAATATTTTTCATGGGAAAATTCACTATAAATGGTGATGTTCCATAGTTATACCCTCCGGTAAACTAACATAACTATGGGAAATCACCCTTTTTAATGGGGAAACCAACAATAAATGGCCATTTTCAATAGCTATGTTAGTTTGCCCGAGGGTATGCATCAGTAAGGGGCCTTGGAGGCGGGAGCCCCTTGCTTCCCGGAGCAATCCTTAGTGACTCAGAAAAATCCGGGACGAGGCCGCAGCGCTGGCAACGCCCAAGTGGTGAATATATGGTACACTGCTTGGTGGTGCAATAACCATCTTGAAAAATATGAGTCAATGGGAAGGATGACATCCCATATATGAAATGGAACATAAAAGCCATGTTCCAAACCACCAACCAGGTATATATATATATGTAATATGTACATATGAGGTGAATCAGTGGGTTCATGTGGCTTCTAAACTACTGCCAGTATGTTAAAAAAACAGATCAGAAATTTGCATACGTCATCCCCCCGCCACGTATGCCGAGGATTGCCGAGGTGCATAAGCGAGGACTTTTCCAGTTTCATCCATGTGCACCGCCTTGATCATGGTCCTCATCCATCCACCTGGCGCACCAGAAACCATCGGTTCTTTGGAATACGTATAAAACAATAGTATCCCATTCATTCCCATTCTAACATCCATTGATGGGTTTGTAACTAACAAACTGATAGTTACATTTTTGTAATACCCTCTGGTTATCTAACATAGCCATGGAAAATGGCCCATTTATAACCTGGTTTACCTATGAAACATGGTGATTTTCCATGGCTATTTTAAGTAACCAGATGGTATTTGTTGATTTCTTTATCTATTTCTTTATATCAGGTGTGAAATCTGTATTACTGTGCAAATATATCTGCCACACTGATCCACACAGGTTTCTTTTGCTGTTCGAGGGATCCCCTGAACCTCCCTGGACTTTTCGGCCTTTTGATGCACTCCAATACAGCCTGACAGCTGTGAACTCGGGCAACTCCGCAGCGAGCCGAGCTCAGCCCCGAAAAAAACAAGGAAACCATGGGAAACCAACAAATCTGCCATGATCTTTCCATATGGCAGTGTGTCAAAACCTTGTACCCCTGGTGAACATCAAAATAGCTGGTAAATTGATGTTCATCCCCCTAAAAATGGTATTAATAGGTATTGATCCATACCCATATCTTTCCATTGGAAGTTGAACAAAACATTGTGTGTGTGATTGTGTGGGATTGTGTGGGTGTGTCTGAAAATGAGGTACCTCCAAATTTTGACGCTTATGGAATTATCGTTAATCACGATTTTCCCTATGAGAACTGCCAATCTTGATACGCTTGCCATGCTGCAACCTGGTCCTCCAACCCTCCAAATACATCCAGATACCCCATTCAAAAACACACAACCGTCTTGGGAGCCCGACACTTGCTCACCTGGCTTGAAGGCCCTGGCAGGGCGTCCTGCAGTGGTGCACAATTAGATGATTCATAAATGCTGTGATCCCGACAGGTTCCATTGCTGTGTGTATCCCCAAAGCTGCATAACACCGTCCTGTTGGCTCCTTGGTTTCGAGGGGCCTGATCCCGCTGGCAGGTGAAGATCTTGAAGATCGCCGAAAAGGAAACCCATCAATTACGATACCAAATACCTCCAAAACGATTCAAAGATCTCAAAATCTCAACTTTCTGCACTTCATGTCCTCACACCAGGCAGTGTGTCAAAACCTTGTACCCCTGGTGAACATCAAAATAGCTGGTAAATGGATGTTCATCCCCCTAAAAATGCTATTAATAGGTATTGATCCATAGCCACCCCAGAGCCTCTTCTGTCCCTTCTCCGGCGCCGTCTTCGCCGGGGTCTTCGCTGGCGTCTTGGCCATGGCCAACGTCGCCGGCGGCTTGGACGGCGCCTTCACCGGCGACACCGGGCGCTGCAAATGCTGCGGCTTCGGTCCAGGCTGCGGCTTCGGTCCCGGCGGCGACACGGGTTTGCCTGGAAGATCTGGAAGTAGGGGGGAAAACTGCGAGGTTTTGCCCCAAAAAAACAAGATAAACAAAGCCAAGCCGAGGGCACACAAAATCTGTGATGTTTCGTCCACTTTCAGGGGGAATGGTGAAAACCTGTAGGTACAATGGGTCGGTGTTAGCTGTTTTTCGTAATGGTTCATACCTGGGGTTGCAGCTGCCATGTGTGGAAAACAAACTGTCGACAGGAAGGTGTAAAAATCCAAAGTGGCTCCAAAAATCACGCGGCTTTTTCAGGATCTGGGCACTGGGCAGTTGAAGATGTCCAAAACGACATTCTCCCTCTAAGAATTGACACAAATTGCACCTTGAGGCATCTTCCCCGCAGCTGGCGCCGCATTGGTTATGAACTGTTCCGCCTCGGACTGTTCAATGAGGCCCAAATCTTGTCGATGCTAAGGTATGCTATGTCATTCCTGTGCTAAAAATCCCCATGTTCATCCTGTTTTGTCCATGTTTTGTCCATATTTTATCCATGGTTTATCCATATTTGCTGAGGAAAACCCCAATGTCGATCCATATCTTCTGGCTTCAAAGCCATCCGCCCAGCTACAAAGGTCACCAAGGCGTGGGGCCTCGGAGATGATGCGCTGAGCTGATTTTGGTTGTAGCCCAGCAAAAATAGATCTTAGATAAGCATAGATAAGCCAATTTAAGCAGGAAATTACGTTTAAAAAAAAAAAAATCTGGAGGTTTTGAAGTTGCTACGAGTATAATCTTGTTGAGTCTGATGGTTTTGTTCACTTTGGATCAAACACACGGGATACGGACATAAAAGAGAAAATAATTACAATGAACATCTTGAAGAAACGAAATGGAGACGGCAACCAAACGTGAATGAGTTGTGTTCACCCCCACAGCCCCGCTTTTGTCCCGCGTCAAAGCAAAGCTGTGGCGGAGGCTGGCTGTAGAGTCACAGACACGTACGGTGAGAGGGAGGGAGTCCTGGTGCAATCATCACATGAAGAAACAAATACCAATAGGAATAGTAATTAATGTTGAGTTATATGTGTGTGTGTGCGTACATATATCATTATATATCTGTGTGTGTGTTTGGTCCATTGTAGGCCTGCGGTATGACGATGTATGTCGATGTAGTATATATATATATATATAATTCAGCGTATTGTCCATTTTTTCTGGTATTTTTTTTGCCTTGAAAAAAAAAATGGACACAAGTTGTGCCTCGATTATCAGAGCAATCTTTTCAGGGTTGGTCTCTGGAGACGTCCAGCTCTCACTGATCTTGCTCACTTTCGCACCGCTGGCACCTTCAGCGGGGAAACCAATGGAAACAGCGTTTCAACGGACGAGTTTCCAGTGCCCAGATTTGCCAAACACCATGATGCCATGGATACCTGAAAAAGTCGCATTACTGGGTACCCAAAATGATCAGCCAATGTGTGGTTACCATGGTTCCTTGCTAGCTCTCTGGCTCATTTGCCTCCCATGATCGCGCATGAATTCTTTGATGATGTGCCAAAATTACGAGTGTTTAGGCCTGAAAATATCCTCATATTTTCACAATAAACCCCAAGAAAGTGTCAGTCAAGTCAAGGTGCTGGTTTGTGCAATCCCCATTCGGGCTACCGTCCCAGCAACCATCAATATTAACCCACCTTGCGGCACTGCCAGCCGGGAAGATATGGCACAACTGGAAAACCTCTAGTGGTGATGGTCTTATCATTGGGTTCACCAAATCGATTATATAAATCCCAACACGTTTCTCTATACCAATTTATGTTCATGGACTCTTGCTATTGTTGGATATGTTGGACAATTTAGGAGGAAAGAAAGGGAACCTTATATAATATTATGATGTTGTCTATTGGGTATACCACTATGAATGGACTGATGACCAACATCATCATATGAATAAGTATGATCATTGATCCAATTAATCCATGAGTAGCTATACACATCAATACATTAATATTCTGACCCATTAATAATTATAGCCCATTAATATTATCATCATTCAAGAGTAATTCCTATGATCCGTTCATATTAATCGGGTCACTAACCATCATTAGAGTAATGCCAATAGGAATTACTATCATTACTTATAGGTTAATTTGACCCATTCATCACTAATTAACAATCTGTAATTAATTGAACCCATTCATCATTAATGGGTGGTTAATTACTGTCCTTATCAATAATTATCATTATTGCCTGTTTAATGATGTATAACACCAGGGAGGAGCATGCGGAGCACATGCGAAGCACCTGCAGTGGAAGCCGCGCCCATTCAGCAGCCGCTCCCGGCGCTTGGCGCCAGCCTTTTGGCTGATTCGTAAAATTTGGTAGACACTTTAGGTGGTCATAATGTTACATATGTATGTATATATATATATACACATACCCTTGAGAAATAGATAGGTAGATAGATAGGTAGATAGGTAGATAGGTAGATAGGTAGATAGGTAGATAGATAGATAGATTAGATAGATTAGATAGATTAGATAGATTAGATAGATAAGATAGATTAGATAGATTAGATAGATTAGATAGATGAGATAGATGGGATAGATGGGATAGATGGGATAGATTGGATAGATTGGATAGATTGGATAGATTGGATAGATTGGATAGATAAGATAGATAAGATAGATAAGAGAGATAATAGATAAGATAGATAAGATATATTAGATAGATAAGATAGATAAGATAGATAAGATTGATAAGATTAGATAGATTAGATAGATTAGATAGATTAGATAGATTAGATAGATTAGATAGATTAGATAGATTAGATAGATAAGATAGATTAGATAGATTTCATAGATTAGATAGATTAGGTAGATAGATAGATTAGAGAGAATAGATAGAAAGATAGATAGAATAGATAGAATAGATAGAATACATAGAATAATAGAATAGATAGAATAGATAGAATAGAAAGAATAGAAAGAATAGAATAGATAAAATAGATAGAATAAATAGAATAAATAGAATAGAATAGATAGATAGAATAGATAGAATAAATAGAATAGAATAGAATAGATAGAATAAATAGAATAGAATAGATAGAATCACATAGATAGAATAGATAGAATAGATAGAATAGACAGAATAGATAAGATTAGATAAGATTAGATAAGATTAGATAAGGTTAGATAAAATTAGATAAGATTAGATATATGGAATGGATAGATAGATAAGATAAGGTAGATAGATACATAGATACATACATAGATACATACATAGATACATATAGGATACATAGATACATATAGGATACATAGATACATATAGGATACATAGATACATAGATACATAGGTACATAGACACATACTAGTGTATAGTATATACAGTGTGTGTGTGTCTCAATGAACCTGCAAAACCAAGGTTGGCCCTATGGATCAACCCATGGAACAACGATGTGGCCAGGTGCCGCCCTGGAGGGGTGCCTCCAACAACAATTGATGCGGCAAGTAGCTGATGGTCACCTGCGCAGCTAGTTGTCAAGTGGGATCATCATCTCAACATGGGCTGGAAACCACAAATGATCTGGGCCAATTACCATTCCAAACATAAAAATAAAATAAACCAAACACAGTTGGATTTCTGCACAACTGGCTCAGATATTCTATCAGAATTCCATCGCATTCCACATCGCCGGGTATCTTTGGGATGACCGTGCCTCGCTTCCCATAGGGATGGCACAACCAGCCCGCACCAACAAGGTACTCTTGGAGCTCTCCAGCGTGGCGTTGGGAGCGCAGGAGTGGTTGAAGCGGGCGCCAGCAGCAAACAGTGCCAGCAGGCTCGGGTCCTGGTCGCCACACATCCCAAATGAGGCCACAAAAGGAATAGATTAAGGTGCGTATATATATAATATATAATATATAATACATAATATGGAATATATAATATATAATATCTAATAATTAATATATAATATATAATATATAATATATAATATATAATAAATAATATATAATAAATAATATATAATAAATAATATATAATATATAATATATAATATATAATATAATATAATATATAATATATAATATAATATATAATATAATATAATATAATATATAATATAATATAATATAATATAATATAATATAATATAATATATATATATATAGAGTAAATTATTTACACAATGCCAACGGATTTTAAACACTGGGGTTTCCTCATGTTTCCTCATGTTCTGTCGCAGTTTCTTGGGGTGTTGCTTACCAGTTAGAAGAGAGAAGGGATGTTGCGCATATACATAGCTTCAGCTTCGCCAGCCGTGCCCTGCGCAAGAAGTTCGCGGCTGGGGATGGCTGCGGTCAACCTATCCCCATCCCCACTTGGACGCCCCATGGGGGTGAAAGCTCTTCCAGCTCTTCTCTGCAGAAAACCAATCATGTTGTTTATGTGTTACTAAGGCCATCCAGCTTGGGAATAATGTATTATGTATGTATACATATATATGGCTGCAAGAGGCTGCAAGTGGCTGCCGGTGACAAGAGAATGCTGGCGGCCACTTGCGGCCATTTGCGGCCACTTGCGGCCACTCGAGTGGCTGCAAGTGGCTGCAAGTGGCTGCAAGTGGCTGCCATTTCCAAAATCAAATTACGCGCCTCCTGCGTGCTCAATGTATACATATATATACTCGTTCCACGTGGCTTCACGCTATCAGAGAGCGATGGGTCTTGGGCTTCCTTGGAGGCCCTCCATGCAACACCTGGAGCCGGGCGAGACACGTTCAACAGCATGGAGGCCCGAGAGTCATCCGAGCCGTGGACGATCCATGGGGGTTAGCCTCTCTACGCCTGGCGGAGTTGGAACAAATCCTCATGGGAAATTTGCTCCTGGGGTTCGCGCTGGAGTGCATGACGTTACTCGCTCTCTATGATGGTGCCGGAGCTCTCGAACATCCTCGATTCGAGAACCAGAGCCAGCCCACATGGTATCAATATGGCGGCTTCCCATCGTACAGCTGCTCTTGCTGCCGCCAAGTATGAGGTTGGTGACTTTTGCACAGGGCTTATTGGGCGCCCCCAGCCCCAAGCCCACGACCATGATGGTGCTGGCAGAGTTTCTGAGGATTTACCACAGGGAGTCTCTGTTGGGAGGGATTCTAGCGGCCAGTACAGAACCGCCCCTCTCAAAGAGTACCCCCCAGCTATGTGCCGAGCACTACCTGTTGCATTTGACAGGGATCTCTCTGCAGTTTGCACAGGAGATGAGATCTCTATCCCAGAGCCTTTCCTGCAACTTGCACAGAAAATGCAGGACAAGGACTTTGGAGCGCACATAGGGCATGACGGCTAAGGCGTCGATGTGCACAGAATTCCCGTGTTGAGCCGCTGCGAGAACCGCAACAATGGGCCGAGAAAAAAATATATATATCTGTGCGCGTAATGTAATGTACTGCATTGTAATGCAATGTAATGCAACGTAATGCAATGTAATGCAATGTAATGCAATGTAATGCAACGTAATGCAATGTAATGCAATGTAATGCAATGTAATGCAATGTAATGCAATGTTATGCAATGTCATGCAATGCGATGCAATGTGATGCAATGTTATGCAATGTAATGCAATGTATTGCAATGTAATGCAATGTAATGCAATGTGATGCAATGAAATGCAACTTAATGCAACATAATGCAACGTAATGCAACGTAATGCAATGTAATGCAATGTAATGCAATGTAATGCAACGTAATGTAACGTAAATGTAATGCAACGTAAAGGTAACGCAATGTAATGCAATGTAATGCAATGTAATGCAATGTAATGCAATGTAATGCAATGTAATGCAATGTAATGCAATGTAATGCAATGTAATGCAATGTAATGCAAGGTAATGCAATGTCATGCAATGCGATGCAATGTGATGCAATGTTATGCAATGTAATGCAATGTATTGCAATGTAATGCAATGTAATGCAATGTAATGCAATGTAATGCAATGTCATGCAATGTCATGCAATGCGATGCAATGTGATGCAATGTTATGCAATGTAATGCAATCTATTGCAATGTAATGCAATGTAATGCAATGTAATGCAATGTAATGTAGCTGCAATGGCAAATGTAAATGTATATAAATGCAAATGCAAATGTCAATGTAATGTAAGTGCAATGCAATGCAATGCAATGTAATGTAATGAAATGTAATGCAATGGTAAATGTAAATGTAAATGCAAATGCAAATGCAAATGTAAGTGTAATGTAAGTGTAATGCAATGTAATGCAATGTAATGCAACGTAATGCAACGTAATGCAACGTAATGCAACGTAATGCAACGTAATGCAATGCGATGCAATGTGATGCAATGCGATGCAATGTGATGCAATGTGATGCAATGTGATGCAATGTGATGCAATGTAATGCAACTTAATGCAACGTAATGCAACGTAATGCAACGTAATGCAATGTAATGCAATGTAATGCAAATGTAATGCAATATAATGCAATGTAATGTAATGCAACGTAATGCAATGTAATGCAACGTAATGCAATGCAATGCAATGTCATGCAATGCGATTCAATGTGATGCAATGTTGTGCAATGTAATGCAATGTAATGCAACGTAATGCAATGTAATGCAATGGTAAATGCAAATGTAAATGCAAATGCAAATGTAAGTGTAATGTAAGTGTAATGCAATGTAATGCAATGTAATTCAATGTCATGCAATGTAATGCAATGTAATGCATTGTAATGCAATGCAATGTAATGCAATGCAAGGTAAATGTAAATGTACATGCAAATGCAAATCTAATGCAATGTAATGCAATGTAATGCAACGTAATGCAATGTAATGCAACGTAATGCAACGTAATGCAATGTAATGCAATGTAATGCAATGTAATGCAAAGTAATGCAATGTAATGCAATGCAAGGTAAATGTAAATGTACATGCAAATGCAAATGTAAGTGTAATGTAATGCAATGTAATGCAATGTAATGCAATGTAATGCAATGTAATGCAATGTAGTGCAATGTAATGCAATGTAATGCAATGTAATGCAATGTAATGCAATGTAATGCAATGTAATGCAATGTAATGCAATGCAATGCAATGTAATGCAATGCAATGTAATGCAATGCAAGGTAAATGTAAATGTACATGCAAATGCGAATGTAATCCAATGTAATGCAATGTAATGTAATGTAATGCAATGTAATGCAATGTAATGCAATGTAATGCAATGTAATGCAATGTAATGCAATGTAATGCAATGTAATGCAATGTAATGCAATGTAATGCAAATGTAATGCAAATGTAATGCAATGTACTGCAATGTAATGCAATGTAATGCAATGGTAAATGCAAATGTAAATGCAAATGCAAATGTAAGTGTAATGTAAGTGTAATGCAATGTAATGCAATGTAATTCAATGTAATGCAATGCAATGCAATGTAATGTAATGAAATGTAATGCAATGGTAAATGTAAATGTAAATGCAAATGCAAATGCAAATGTAAGTGTAATGTAAGTGTAATGCAATGTAATGCAATGTAATGCAACGTAATGCAACGTAATGCAACGTAATGCAATGTAATGCAATGTAATGCAATGTAATGCAATGCGATGCAATGTGATGCAATGCGATGCAATGTGATGCAATGTGATGCAATGTGATGCAATGTGATGCAATGCAATGCAAGGTAAATGTAAATGCACATGCAAATGCAAATGTAATGCAATGTAATGCAATGTAATGCAATGGTAAATGTAAATGCAAATGCAAATGTAAGTGTAATGTAAGTGTAATGTAATGTAATGCAATGTAATTCAATGTAATTCAATGTAATGCAATGTAATGCAATTTAATGCAATGTAATGCAATGGTAAATGTAAATGCAAATGCAAATGTCAATGTAATGTAAGTGCAATGCAATGCAATGCAATGTAATGAAATGAAATGTAACGCAATGCAATGGCAAATGTAAATGCAAATGCAAATGTAAGTGTAATGTAAGTGTAATGTAATGTAATGTAATGCAATGTAATTCAATGTAATGCAATGTAATGCAATGCAATGCAATGTAATGCAATTTAATGCAATGTAATGCAATGGTAAATGTAAATGCAATGTAATGCAATGCAAATGCAAATGTAAGTGTAATGTAAGTGTAATGTAATGCAATGCAATGCAATGTAATGCAATGTAATGCAATGTAATGCAATGTAATGCAATGTAATGCAATGCAATGCAAGGTAAATGTAAATGCACATGCAAATGCAAATGTAATGCAATGTAATGCAATGTAATGCAATGGTAAATGTAAATGCAAATGCAAATGTAAGTGTAATGTAAGTGTAATGTAATGCAATGCAATGCAATGTAATGCAATGTAATGCAATGTAATGCAATGTAATGCAATGTAATGCAATGCAATGCAAGGTAAATGTAAATGCACATGCAAATGCAAATGTAATGCAATGTAATGCAATGTAATGCAATGGTAAATGTAAATGCAAATGCAAATGTAAGTGTAATGTAATGTAATGTATGTGTGTGTGTGCGTGTGTGGTTTTCCGAACTTTTACCGGTGGAAAAAATATGTTCCAACGTCTGGCTCGGAAGGTTGCCATCCCTTGCCCTCCCGGAGGCCCTGCAAGTCCTCCGTGCAGTACATGGAATTGGCTTCAGCGATGGAGCCTCTGCATAGATTCAGCCAAGCCAATCAGGTGACCCCCCAATACTACCCTCTGGTTATTTAACATAGCCATGGAAAATCACCATTTTTAATGGGAAAACCATCTATAAATGGGTCATTTTCCATGGCTATGTTAAATAACCAGAGGGTAAGTGAACTGTTTATGAGAGGTTTGCCATACACAAACAATATCAACCAATCATAGGGGTGCTTCTTCACCATGGGGGGAGTCACCTTTGGAGTTGGCCCGTTGGCTGAATAGCCATGACACAATCAGAGACATGTGAACCAAATTTCATATCATGCCTTTTTCCTGACAAAGTGTAAACAATTGGCGGGTTGAAATTAAATCTGTGACTTTGGCCTCGCATTCAGATCGCACCAAAGGTAATACCCGGGTTACCCTATCACTGGTGATCAACCATGATCAACCTAAATGCTGAACACAAAAGCCGCCACAAGTATCACAAGCAAAATTAATATGGTTGTATAACCCTATTAATATATAGATTATCTGGTTATATAATATGGTTGTACAACAAAAGTACCTAATTAATATGGTTATATAACCCTGTTGTACCCCGTTCTACCCCGTTGACATGCCCGCCGCGTCACACACCAGGATCTGTTCCCGCATCTCAGGGTCCATGTCGGTCTCTTCCAGGGTGGCCCGGTCGTGGGAGTCCTGGACATGGCTCAACACCACACCATGTGAGGATGTTGATTTTAAATGTTTGCTTCTGTATTGTCATGCGGCCCCTTGATCCTTGGTTCTGTTTCCCCAAGCGTTCTGTTTGGTGGTCCCAGCCAGGGTGAATCTTCTCATATCTTCCTACCATGCGCCACTGCGAAAGTGGTCGGAACGCACGAAAGTTGTCAAAATCATCATGGAACCGGGCATGGCGCTTAAAAATGCTGAACATGTAATGAAAATGTATGATCTTGAACTGCCCTTTTCCAGCTCTCTTCGGCACCATGTGATGCCAAGTCCTTTGTGCCCAGCTTCAGAATGGAATCGTAGTAAAAATCCGCTTGAGCATCAGCACCTCGGTCACATGCTCTAAGGCTGGCATGCTGTGGTCAGCTCACCTAGTTATCAATGGTATGTTTTCCCCATGTTTACCCCACTTCTAGCTTTTTGATCAGTGACTCGATGCACGACAGCCTCACTAACCATTTACAAACCCGGATGCACACTGCAACATTGCGGAACAAAGGAATAGGCTTCGCCACATAAAGGAATGGACCGCCTACTCCACCAGTGGGCATGACGTGAGTGACCCTGGCATCACGAGACTGCCAGCCGCAGTTTCCTAGAGAAAGATGCCTCCATTATCATCTGGGCAATTTTGGGTAAATCCACTCCCTGCTTCTGCCCTTGCAACTTCCTAGGTGGATAAAAGCTTCGAGCAGGCCTTCCATGGCCTTCCCACCCCACACATAAATAGGAATTGGATGGAATTGGCGTGTTATGCATTGTTGTGCATTGATGCATGTGTTTTTGGATCTGCACATGCAAGTATACACTCATCTTCCCAACTGAATATGGAGCAACCTCTGACGTGAAAATCACCGGCCAGTCTTCATTGCAGGCAAAGAACGGGCACTGACTCTCCTGTCGCCATGGCCCTTTCCTCGGCGATTGGGGACTGAAATCATCTCCCAATCTCCGGAACACGGCTGGCCAAGGGACGGATGGCCTTTTCTGCGATGGTGCAATAAAATTCCTTGTCACCTGGAAGTCAGGGGCGACGGAAATGAACTATCACAAGAATGAGGTTTATATCATGAGGGGTGGAACACGGTGGAACATGCTTCAGGGTTCGAAAACTGAATCTTATGAAATCTATTGAAATCTTATGAACCTGGGTTCCCCATCATGGCGGGGAAAGTCCATTCGTATCCAGGCCACCATCCATTGGGGCGGAAGAAAAGGCCGTGTCGAAGAGCAGCGGCTGTCCTGGTAGCAGCTCCTGCCATTGGAACTAGATTCAGGCGCGGGATGAAGCAGGGGAACCAATAAATGGATCGTATCCAGCAGGTGAGCCAAATCAGGGTTGAAATGGCACATGGCTAGCCTGGCTAGCCCCATTCACAGATTCCATTTGTAGTGGCATGTTCCCAATGTTTTCCATTGTTTTCCTATCGTTTCCTATGGTTGTCCGATGATTATCTTATGATTTTCCCACAATGAATGGGGGATTTCCCAAACGACCCATGGCTTCCCATGGCATCCACAGAGTTGCACTCCTTGGCGGCCACGTAGCCCAAGCCGAAGCCCTCAATGGGCTGCAGCTGGAGGACATCATCCACCACCTGATGATGGTCGTCATCATCGTGGTCCTATTGGTGAGTCCTCCTCATGATTATAAATAAGCATGATAATTTCTCAGTGTTTTTCTTTTCTTCTTCTTCTTCTTCATCATCATCATCATCTTCTTCTTCTTCTTCATCAGTTGGTGGCGACCAAATGGAAATCCCCAACTTCCCAGATGAAAATCATTGCGAAAAAGTCGCGAGACTCCTTGGCAGATTGAATTGCTCAAAGGCAACCCCCCCAGTATATTGCCTGCATATTTTTGGGCCTGGTGGCTTTGAATACTCGACCCATCTCCACCCCTGCTGGCTGAGTTATATATGTTGAGTTTACCTTCCTATTCTTCATCTCTGATGGTTGACTGAAGAACTGAAGAATATGAAAAATATCCAAATAGGTTCGTGGTTCACCCCCCAAAATACCCTGGTCCCCTTCACCCCTTAACCTTCCAAAGGGCCGCCTCCGAGAGCGTCCCGAACTTCATCTTCTCTTCAAGCTCTGCAGCCAGTCGGGGGTTTGGTTTCCTGAAGCGAAGGGCGTTTCGGCACCAAGGCAGCACCACGGTGCCAAACCTCTCTGAAGGTGTCATGATGGGGAGTTTCCCATCAAAAATCGAGGGAATTTACCAAGAAACATGGTGACTTACAAAACTAGCTAAAGAATGTAATGTTGTTCGTATCTTGTAATGCCTATTTCTTGAACAATGCCTTGTAATGCCTACTTCGTGAACAATGTTTGACACACCTCTCCGACCGTCTGGATGCGTGCGAACATTCAGGCTAGATCAGCGCGTTTTGTTTTGACATATCGCCACCCCAATATATTCGACATAGGACCAACCCACCATTATATACATATTCACTTCACATCGAAATGTGAGTAGGAGGGGGCATATGCAAAATAATTATATCCTCAAAGAACGTATATAGTACATAGAAATGTACTGGCTGTTGCTTGAGCAGCCCGGTGTTTTTAACCGAAATGCTCTTAGGTATCTCTCTAAAACCTCCATTTATAATGGATTTTCCATTGCTATGTTAAATCACCAGATGGTATCTTATTTGTAGTTCATATCCCCATGTCAGTTCGACCCAATAAATTGTTTCCCACTGTTCTATTGGCTTGCTTGTAGTTCTGCTATAAAGAACTTTGCGGAGGTTATATATAATATATAATGTGTTATTATATACATATATATATATTTATATACATATTATATGCATATATATATATATACATATATATATATATACATATATATATACATATATATATATATACATATATATATATACATGTGTGTGTGCGTGGACCATCTGAAAAGATGTAAAACTTCTAACTTGCTTGATGATGTGCTTCAATGGTTTTCCAATTTGACATTGCCTTTTTGGCTTTTTCATTTGATTTTCCAACAAAAGCAGGGGGGCAAGGCCTTCAGTGACTACCTTGCCCAACGAAGCTATGTCACTGAAGGGGAAGCAACTGGGGACGCCCAGTTGTGTACCTGCAGATAGTTTTTAACTGTTGAACACGCTGTCCACTACGTTGTTACAGTTTCAGCGGCAGAATTCTTCTACACTGTTTCTCACGCCTGGTCATTCACCATTTCCTGTCAGGTTTACTGGAGTGTTTTTTGCACGTACGATGCATTCCACATCAGTAATTCGATAAGATGTTTCTGAGCAAGTGTGTCACTCATGCCGAATTCCGACAAGGTGGTATGAGCCCTTCGGGGAAAGCCTTTCTAGGCTAACAATTGACAGTAAAACGATCTCTGAATTTACACTTTTGAATTAGTAATTCGTCTAAGTAAAGTGAAACAGCCGTTCACTTTTCAGGTTTCACTCTGTCGGTCGAGTGAGTGTTGAAACTGCTTGCCGCAGTACTGGGCATCGCCTTTTCCATTTTCACCATGTTCTGCATAGCTGGAAGCCGCGACAACATCCGTTTTTCAATGATGCCCAAGAGAGTACGGAGCTCGACATTTTCACATGACATGTTACCATGTGAAGGCTACAGGACATGCTTTCCAGGTTTGGCCACTTCCTTTTTTGGTTTCTCGGTGAGGTTGAAATTGTGCACCTAATTCAGGGGTTGAACACGTAAGCCGTCCAGAGGGTTGTGACTTGAAAGCCGAGGGCCTTTGAGCCTTATCACGAATTTTGCATGCGTTGTGGATGCATCATGTCATTAACTAGTTCCCCATGGGTCCCTATTTCATGTGTTCTTGCGTTCTCCTCTCTCCAGGTAGGTTTGGCCCGTTGCGTGCTGAGGTTGTTGTAGGTTTTCGCCGTGTCAGGTTGGTTCAGGCGCTTCTGTCCTCCCCCTCCTCCGCTGGTCTTGTTCCGTTTTCCGTCGGCCTCCGCTTTTCTTTTCCCTTGCCTTTCCAGGGTTGCCCGTTCTGGGCTAGGTTTCATGTGTTGGTGTTTGCTCGTTCCCTCTTCTTTTGCGTTCCCCTCTTTGCGTCCTGGTTAAGTAACTTTCATCTCATTGTCATCTTCACCTCATCTTCATTTCCATTCCTCTTCATTTTCATCTCATTGTCGGGACCTTAATGTCCCACCCTCCTGCGGGAGGGTGTGTGTGTGTGTGGACCATCTGAAAAGATGTAAAACTTCTAACTTGCTTGATGATGTGCTTCAATGGTTTTCCAATTTGACATTGCCTTTTTGGCTTTTTCATTTGATTTTCCAACAAAAGCAGGGGGGCAAGGCCTTCAGTGACTACCTTGCCCAACGAAGCTATGTCACTGAAGGGGAAGCAACTGGGGACGCCCAGTTGTGTACCTGCAGATAGTTTTTAACTGTTGAACACGCTGTCCACTACGTTGTTGCAGTTTCAGCGGCAGAATTCTTCTACACTGTTTCTCACGCCTGGTCATTCACCATCTCCTGTCAGGTTTACTGGAGTGTTTTTTGCACGTACGATGCATTCCACATCAGTAATTCGATAAGATGTTTCTGAGCAAGTGTGTGCTGCAAAACAAGAGAAGGCATGGAAACCCCTGCTTGTCTGAGTCTTAAACATCACAAGGAACAATTTTTGATGGTCAATTCTGGATTTGATGTCGCCCATCCCGCAGCCTGAGTCATGTTAAACCCTTCACCAACCTTCACCAACCTTCACCATACCGAAACAAATGCCAAAAAAAAACAACGAAAATCTCAGGCATCTCAACGCAAACGACTGGTTGATCACTCGCATTGCCCAGTGGCTGAAGCTGCTCCAGCTCACACTGGGCAGAGAACAACCTCCCCTGGCGCAGCAAATCGCCAATGCCTTGGATCACAATTCCGATTCATCACTTACTGAACGTTGGGGGCCACATCACTCCAATACCCTCTGGTAAACTAACATAGCTATGGAAAATCACCATTTTTTATGGGAAAATCAACTATAAATTGCCATTTTCAATAGCTACGTTAAATTACCAGAGTGTAACTCTGGTTTATGGTACTTATAAATATAGTTTTTATATGTTTTTATATGTTTTTATGCGGTGTATAAACCAACTTACAGTATGATGCTTTTTTGATCCTGGATATCTCAGAACACCTGGATGGTGTGGGTCATCCCGCCACTATCATGGCTCTGGGCAGCAGCAATTCCAAGACTACGTAGGAGAGGGTACCAGGTTATGGAAGTTATAGAAATAATCATGTACAATATGTGTATTATATATAGAGAGAGAGAGAGAGGCCAGTTGGGTGAGCTGCAGACACAGGTCATATAAATGGTTGCTAGCTACTTTTTTGCCAGGTTGTCACCATTTGTCACCTATCCCATCGTCAACTTCGGCCCAAGGTGCGGTTCTCAGGCGTCTCCGCCTTTTTGCAGGTAAGTTTGTGCACCTGATGGAGAGGAAAAAAAAAACGCACTCTTTTGACGGGCTTTGGGAGATGTTGGGTTCAAGAAAATGCGGGATCATATGGGATAATCATGGATAATCTACTGCATTTGCTTGTAGATTTAGGATGATTTAGGCTTAACCCAAAGAGATGCTTCGAGATCATCACGCGTCGTCGAAACCCAGGGAAGCTCTCGGCCAACCGCCCTGGTTAGGGCAACCCCCAAGACCGGTCTGAGACTTGATGTGGGGTGACGTGATTTTTTTTGACAAGACATGAAACTGAAATTCGGAACTGACCACATTTGGGGGGTCCATAGAATTGATCAACGCTCTTTTGAAATACCCGAGTCCCGGGTTGCTGTAAAAATCCTGCAACATGGACGCATCAACAGCACCAAAACAACGGCGCGTCACTTTTGGCCCAAGGCTTGACCAAAGGTATTTCAGGACAAGAGAAGTTATGCGGACGGATCAAGCCTTCCAGTCTTTGCGCTGACATTCCGGCGAGCAGTAGGCTTTTTGACCACATCTGCTGCACCTGGGCAGCATTGGCAGCGGCAGCATCGGCATCAGCATGGGGTGCTGCCAAGGCACAATTTGGTGCCATGCCCTGTGCATCCCCCCACAGCACATGGAGGATCTGCATCCATGGCTGCATGGGTATCAGGGCGTCAGAATATGTTGGAATCCTTCAGTGTCCGAGGTGTCTCAGTTTCTGTCAAGGTTTGGTGGGGGGGGTTCTGTTTGGAGTTGAGTCCTTTGGAGTTTTGGGGTTGGGTTCTTTGGAGGCTTGGAGTGTTTGGGGCAGGCTACCCGGCTACCCAGCGCCCGAGTTGCAAAGTGCTTGTCACATCTTTCCCACAATTGCTTCAAGGCCCTTCAAGGGGTATCTGGTTTACCCTTTATGAGTCCAAAGCATGGGGGTTGACTCTCTGGGGATGCCTGAACATGGGGCATACCCTCAAATTGCTAGTTTGATGGGGAACATGATGATAGACCCTTGGGACTTCGGGAGTGCCCTATTTACAGACAAACCCATCTTTGTTTCCTGAGTAGGTGCACTTCACTAGGCACATGGCAAGTTCATGCAAGTTCATGATCTCTGTTCCAAGTTCAAAGATGCTCAATTCAATGCCTTCATGGTCGGATCGTCGGAACGCTTCCAGGAAAGTATCCTAATGGCCCTTTCTTGTTGGCAGGTCTTCTCCCCATCGGTCAGTGTCTGCAAGTTTGCAGCATGTTCAAGAGCTTGAACCAAAAATTGCCAATTTGTGATTCTTTTCACTTCGGGAAAAAAAACATCACCCGCCCACATCATGTCCCTTAGGTGGTGTCAACCCACCCACAACTAGACGACGGTTGGCCCGAGAGCGAAAAAGATGTGTTTCAAGCAGCTCTGAGTATGGTAGTCGTAAAAGATAGTCGGTGAATAGTTGGTGAATTTTATTGGTGAATTTTATATGAGCTATGGAAAGACATGATGTAAAAAAGTAAGATTTGGTAAAGGGCATCAGATGACATGTGTCTTGCAACCACAGAGAGAAAGAGGGGGAAGAGATAAAGAGAGAGAGAGAGAGGTCAGACGCATTTCCACACAAAGACCTTTGAGATACAAAAGAAGCTCGGCACCATGATGCCGTGGATGACCTTAGTTGCAAACAAAGGTGGGCAAACATAGTCGCAATGAAAATGCTACAAAATGCAAAAGTACACAAACAAAGGCTCCGTAAGAAACTAGAACTCCGTGCAAGAATGCTGTGAATGATAGCAAGTTCGATATCATGATGGCAAGGATAACACCTGTTTCACTGCATTTCTCCGATGTCCCTACAGGATGGAAAAAAAAACTTTACAGACAAACAACAGTTGGCTACTGGTTTTGCATGTTCGTCACGAACAGTCTCTCCAGACGAACATACTGGTTTTGCATGTTCGTCACGAACAGTCTCTCCAGACGAACAGTGCTACAGATTAATTTGCGCCAGTTGCACTCAGTGCCACTCGGTACGCAAGCCTTCCAGCTCCCACAAGCTGCGTCCAAGCAAAGGTCGGTACCATGATGCTGCAGATGTGGCATGTTTGCCGCTTTTACTACTGCAGCAATCCGGCTACTGCGGTCGATCTTTATCTGGGCACCTCCACGGACACGACCTAAGTTCCAGCATCTCTGTGAACGCAGAAAGATCTTCCAGCCAGTCAGCAGGATGCTCATACTCGAGATTCACAACGCAGTCGTTGCAGTGCCCGCAGATGTAACATCTCTCGGCTGCCATTGTCCTCCAAACATGTTCTATGCTTCTGACTGTTTTTTTGATATATTTCAGATGATGATGACGAAAGTGTGGTATTGTCACGGTCATGATCTTTGCCCAGCCAGCAGAGATTTGCTGAGATGTCCAGCTATCGTCTGACTCGTTTGGATCGCCGGGTTCTTGGTTGGCACCGCAGCAAATACAGATGGTGGTGTCTGCCTCCTTCCAATGACACATTTTCTTCAAAACAACTGGCCAACCAGCTTTTACCAGATAGTGTCCGGTTTCTGGTTGCAAAGAATATTTTGGAGCCAATTCAGAGCTCCCAGGCACAAATGAAAGAACGTGTCGTAGAATTTGTTCATCAAAGACATCCGCCCTTGCACGGATTCCCTCCGCATTCGCTGCCATGGCAGACCACATTTAAATCCCCAAATACTTTATGCGACACGTTTGTGCACCAAAATTTTGTTTGTTGTTAACTGCTGTCATGTCCAACGATGTGGGCGCT